GGGCTGGCCGGGAGGGAGAAGCAGGGGGAGAGAATCGGCCGGCGGGGAGGGGGACTGACCCAGGCGCACATAGATCCCGGGGTGTTGCCCGTCCCACACACAGTCCCGGTGAAGCACGAGCAAGTCCAGCCCTGGGGATTCCCTCTTCCCGTGTAGTTGCATACTGCCTGGCTGGTAGACATGCTCATGCGGTGTGTTTTACCTAATTACCTAATTAGAAAATACCAGAACCTAAAACTTCAGAACCGGACAGCTGGCAACCCTATCTTTGATATGTAATTCTGTGCACAACTTCCCATCTGGGCAGACTTGCAGTCATTTAGCAATGTGAACTGGCTCATCAGACTCAAAATAGAGAACCAATGATATTGCATTTACATAGCACCTTAATATTAACAAACTGTGCTTGTAACTGGAAACTTTTAATTTAGTTGCAAACTCAAGTAATTGTACACGGGTGGGAATTAACACACTTGCACAATAATTTTTATAATTCTGATTATTTGAAAATAAATATAAAGCAAGTAAGTGAATAAAATTACACTATTATTTTGTATTACGTTAAAATTTGTGTTAATTTTTCAAGGCTTCTTCATTTTGCACATTCTTTTCTTTAGGTGGAATATGTATGAGTTCTAGTCTAGACAAGGTTATGATTCCTGGCAAATTGGTAGTTCAAAGAGGATGATATATAGTACTTTGTTCTAGCTGTGTTGCATATAAATTAATGTACTTGGGGAAAAAGGGAGAGGTGTACTTCAGCCATTAAGGTGCACTATACACAAAGATGCTCATAAATTTTTCAGGGCTACAAAGTCTCATAGCCAGTATATAAAAGATATGCTTTGCAAAACAAGATGAGTGAATGCTGACTCCAACCAACAATTATAATTACTTTTCTACCTATTATTAGCATTTTAATGATCATTGTTAACCTCTGACCCATTTTGACCCATTGGACAAATGTCTCAGACACTTTGCCAAAGGATCAATGCGTACAAAACAGATATTAGACAGGATCACAAAGAAAAAACAGTTTCTTGCCATTTCAACCAGAAAGGACATTGTCTCAACGACTTGATTACCTGCATCCTGCTTCAAAGGCCTTTTAAGACTACACTTGAAAGAGAATCCTCTGAACTGTCATTCATGCTTAAATTTGACACTTTACGCCTATGTTTGAATAAAGACTCTAATTATCTTACCCATTACAAAGATAGCTTCCCAAATTATCACCTCTAATATCATTAGCTCACAGACATTTACCTCCCTCCTCCCCATCCCCCTTCTGTTCTGAAATTTGATTTGTCCTTTTCATATGTGTTCATTTTTTTAGTTGTATCCTTTGGTATATATGGAACAAAAAACAGGACTATATAGCACTTTAAAGACTAACAAGATGGTTTATTAGGTGATGAGCTTTTGTGGGCCAGACCCACTTCCTCAGATCAAATAGTGGAAGAAAATTGTCACAACCATATATACCAAAGGATACAATTTTAAAACTAACACGGCTACATTTCTATCATTTTGGTATATATGGTTGTGACTATTTTCTTCCACTCTTTGATCTGAGGAAGTGGGTCTGGCCCACGAAAGCTCATCGCCTAATAAACCATCTTGTTAGTCTTTAAAGTGCTACATAGTCCTGTTTTTTATTTCTCCCTTGAATTCCTTTTCTTAACTGTCTCAATTCAAGCAGGAGCAAAGGGACCTTTTTTGACACAGTAAGAACCAATTCAAATCTGTTGCCAAATGTGCAAAACAGTGTGGTTAAGATCCCCAAGTCACACACCATTTACTAGCAGTTACATGATTTCCAAGGAGCAAGACAAACAGCTCAAGGATAAATTACATTTTGTTTGCTTCTGCTAGTATATCCAGTGGTAGACGACAGGGAGTTGTGTTTCCTGAGTAGGCACCAGAGCACTTGAGTCAGAATAGTCACAAACTGGGCAGCACTGACCAAGAAAAATAGGCAGCTAACATGGCCACGGTATGCACTGATTCAGTGCCCCGGAACTACTAAGGGAAGGCATAGTACAAACAATATCTCCCCTTTCCTGAGGAAGAATCCCCCTGGGGTGGAGCAGTGCCTACACATTCAGAGAAGTGTAATTTACAGCTCCTTGCACTAGCTGTGGCAAATTGACTCCAGCATGTACATTTATATTGGCGGGGGTTTAGCCAGTGGGGAATGACAATAAAAGTTTCCCCTTAACTTTTGTTTTAAATAAAAGGCACCAGCATGATCCTGCATGAAATGTAGATGTCCTGTCCTGGTTCTGCCACTGATGCAGTGGATGGCCTTAGTCAAGGCATTAAATCATGGCCAAATCTGCTCTTAGTAAATGGCACTGTTTCTTTACACATACATGAGTAGAATTTGGCCCCAGATCTCAGCTTCTCCATCCATGAAATGGGAATCATCACACTAAAATAATACATGAATATGAATTGAAAATCAAAAAACCTTTCCCCCTCATACTGAGTGTGCAGGGCTCTGAATATGTTCTCATTCACTGATTCATTCTGATGAAGTGAAATTCTCCATATTGGAGATTTAATCAACTGTTGAACCAGGAGCTTTTAGAAAATATGCATTAAGATGTCTTCTTGTCCCTCGTTTTCTCCTTTGCAAGTCTTCACTCTCCCTTGGAAATAATCTGTTTTGCTTTATTGCATCTCTCCTGGAAAGCAGACTTGTCAATGTGAAACTATGCAGGCTAATAGCCCAGTGCTGCAGACCTGCACAGAATTCATCCCACTTTCTTATTTCTCCATCTAGAGGTTATTGGCAAATCTCCAGTACTCCCAAAATATACAAACTAGACACCTGGACATACCAGTAATAGCTGATGTTAAAGCACTGCCTTGACAGTGCTTAAAGGGCCTTACCTGTAGTGCTGACAGTGGATGGTGGGTCAAAAGGAGTAGCTACCCAAGGGCCCAGCGATTGAAAAGGGCCTGGGGCTCCCGGCTGCTGCTGGCCCTTTAAATTGCTGCCAGAGACCCAAGTGGTGAGGGGCAGTCAGCACTGAATGGCTGGCTGATGGAGGCTGGTCCTCAGGCCTGCCCCTTCCATGGGCCTGGAGCCAGTTCCCCATCTCGCCCAGGAGCTTGGCAGCCCTACTTACCATTAATAGATTTAAGTTATATTTCCCCCTGTGTGCAGTTAGGTTAAAGCACCCAGTTGCACGCCATCTGCTATGCCCTGTGTTAGAACCCAAGAGGGCCTGCTTAATTTACTCCAGGCTGCAAACACTTCAAAAAGCCAAACACTTCCTCCAGGACTAGTGTAGCAAAGCTGTGTCCTCCTTTCCAGTAAACAGGTCCCTCGAACCCAGTCAGCAAGAAGGCACACAAGCTTCTTTATTGTCACTAGACTAATGCAGGCTCATCCTTGCATAAAGCAGATCCATGTTGCACCCTTTGCTCAAAGTTTCAGTGTCCAGAGGTGGTCGGGAGGGGCCGCAGTGAACTTCAGGATCAGGCCCTCTGCTTATTTTGGTGAACAAAGTGCTAGAATGCTGCATCTGCATCAATGTTTGTTGTACCTGCACTCCTTGACCTTAGGAGAGCAACGCAGTCACATTGCAGTCCCTAAACTGAGCTTGAGGAGAATGTAACAAGTTCTGCCAAACTGCCAGATGGGCTGACGTCTAAATCGTTAAAAATAGTAGCACAGTGCTGTTCTAATTATAGCATCCTCAGATTGTTCTAACAGAGAGGTGCCAAGACACTGAATGCCAGACAAAGAAAACTGCTACTTTCTTTTAGCAAAGTTGCAAGAAAAATATCCATGTAGCAAGCTGAATTCTACAAATATTTAGTGTTTTAAATATTAGACTGTTTTATGCTTGCTGTGGGGGTTTTTATATACTTCCTACGTACTGACTACGGACTACTTTTAATAAAGTGGATTTGCCAAGAGAATCAAACTGAGTATTGCTATGGATAAATTAATACTGTAGTGGATAGACTAGTATTTGAGTGCACCACTGTCATCCACTGGAAGCATCACATGCTACTAGCTGCAGACAGAGAGTCATAGGAGTTTTATATCTGCTGTAGCTTTGAAATGTGGAGTGGTCATTGTATGCATTGTAAGTCTGAACTGACCCTACTTCTAGTTCAAAACTTGCTTTCAGTGTTGCCTCATTCACTCTTCATCCCCCTACCTGCCTTCTGTTTGCCTTCTTCACCTGTTTCATTTTGGTATACCACAAGTTTGCATGCTTTTTGGGTTAGGGACTGTTCGTACCTTAGTTCTGTGCATTGCCTACCACAATAGGGTTGTGATTCCTGTTTGGGTCTCTAGGCATCATTAGATCCATGGCTATCCTGGAGGATGATATTAAAACCTGAAATGTAGTTCTTCTGGTTGCTAGTGGGGATTCATAATCTTCTCTTCCTTCAAGTTGGGGAAGAGACAGCTGCAGCTCAGGTGTCAGATTTCTCTGATATTACCATCTAGCTCCTTCAGGTATCTTCCCATCACCCGCTAGTGAAGAAAGGGAATTTGATGGAAAAGGCCTGTGCAAACAGAGACAGAGCTATTCCTCCCAAATCTTTTCTAATGATTGTCCAGCATTGCAGTGAAAAAGAATTGGGGCTATCTTCTGGTTCCAGCCTTTAACCCAATCTCCTGTTCTTTAGCTCCTCCATAAAAATGATCATTAAAGTTGTCCATTATGTTGTGAATCAGAAGGTCTAAAGGTCTCATCATGAAGGAATCATAAGCTCTCAACTTTTCTTTCTTTTCAGAGCCTGTGTCATCTTGGGTGTGATATTTCTTCTTTCAGCTGTGTGTATAGTGATCAAAGCCATCCATGACCTTGCTATGAAGTTACTCCCAGAAGTGGTAAGACTATTCTTTTCTCTACACTGCTCTTCTCCACTGCAGGCCTGCAATGCCCTATTATATTTAGTGGAGCTCCAGCAGGAGGAGGAGCCATGTACACATCATGATCTTAAAGCAGCTGTGGGCAATAACTGGCCTGCAGGCCAGATACAATTCCCTGGGGTTAGTCCCTGGTGGGTTGCCACTGCTATATTTACCTGCATCTCCACAGGGATAGGCGCTTGCAGTTCCATGGGCTGCTGATCACCATTCTCGGCCAAAGGGAGCTGTAGGAAGCGATGTCCCGGTCTATGTTGCTTCCCACAGCTCCCATTGCCAGGGAATGGTGATCCATTGCGAATGGGAGTTGCAAACACCAGTGCCTATGGAGACACAGGTAAATACAGTGGTGGTGGCCCACCAGGGGCAAACCTTGGTGAACTGCCTCTGTCTTATTACCCATCCCTGCCTTTAAAGTGACATTTTTACCACACACTGTGAGGTGTAAGTATGACCCACATTAGCATTACAGGCCAAATCCTGCTCACCTGAATCACCTAAAGCTCCTATTGAGGGGTCTAGGAGTTGGTGTAATGTGGGTAGATTTGAGCCCTCATGATGGTGTAGAGGTGAGGTTTCTCTTGCGCAGGTACATTTTGTAACGACAAGACCATTTGCACAGCTCAAGACCCCACTGACTTCAGTGCTTTGTTTTTAATATGGAAAAATATTCGGAGATTGTATTTCTTGTTTTCCAGCTCCTGCCTCCATATCCAGAGACACATGCAGGTGACAGGAGATAAACAGGTGAGGGGAGCATGAGTTAGCTTCTGCTGGGAGAATGAGCTGGCTCTTCTAGCTGTCCTGCCTTGGGGTATCACAAAACTTTACTCTTGCTCCTTGCTTTCAGTGCAGCTACAGAAGCCTGCCCAGCCTATCAGAGCAACCTTGCCAATAGCCCCTCTCAGCACAGTGTGTCCTCTCTTCTGGCAGAACTCAAGAGTCAGTGCCCCATAGCCCTGTCTCTCCAAACTGGCTGCTCAATGGGAGAGCCATAGGGCACCGTTTTAATCATCAGAAGAACCTTACTACTTTTTGCTGCCCCAAACTCTTATCATTGAACATGGCCATGACACAGTGCACATGCTCAGTCAGAATTGGGCGCACACAAAGTTCTCTGAACACACCTGACTTCTGTGCTTCCAATCCTGCACTCATGCACCGTGGATGTACATACAGATACTCTGAAAATTTGCCCCTGGAGTGTTTCTTTGTCAACTCTGTTTTCCCCCTCACCCTATCATTAGATCATCACCCCGTAATCCTGCTTTCAACTAGGAGGTGGAGGCAGGCCTGGAAACAACAAAGTGCAATCTCAAACTATTCTCCATGCTTTTAAAAACACACATGGTCTATATGTGGTTTTACTCTATGGAAACTTCTTTGAGCTTGGGAAAAACCCTTTAAATTAGAAGTCTGCATTCAATACTTTATTCGGAGTTACATGCCCATCAAGAGAAGAGCAAGTAGGCTAAATATTATATTTTCTTTAATTAGCAAGCATATCCACATTAAATATATGTTTCTGGATATATGTAGCAGCAGAGAGGTTTCTGTAAGAGTCAGAATAAACATTTCATGGCTCTATAGTGGTCTATGGTGAATGAATTTTGAATGTTTAGTATATTTCTCTGTGGGCAGATGTCCACTGTATAAAAACAGTTTGATAAGAGTCCAGAGATTGAAGGGGCACAGAAATCAAACTGACTAGAAGAAGTGATTTTAGATTAGGTCATCTCTCACAAGTAGACCTTGATTCAAGGCATGTCACTCATTTTACTCTCGAAGTTCCTTCAAACAAATTTGGTGTCTCATTGCTTTTGCTTTTGAAACTTCTTTACATCAGAAATAAAGAATCTTGAACGTGGGATTGTAAAATGTTTGTGTCCAAAAGAGATGAATCTTCCAACACATGGGGATGCAAGATTTTGAAATTTATTTTTGTTCTGCATTGGAGTGAAAACAAGACCTTTTGTGCAATATACAGTATAATGAAAAAAAAAAATCAGAGACACACCTACTCTGGAATAGCCAGTACCCTCTTTAGGGTACTCACTTAAAATGTGGTAATGCCAGGTTTAAATCTCTTCTCTGTCTCAGGCTGAGCACACTGATCACCAGGGGTGCATCTAGACTGGCAAGATTTTGCGCAAAAGCATCTGCTTTTGCGCAAAAACTTGCCAGCTGTCTACACTGGCCGCTTGAATTTGTGCAAGAACACTGACTTTGTAATGTACAAAATCAGTGCTTCTTGCACAAATACTTTCACGCTCTCTCTTGGGAAAAAGCCCTCTTGCACAAGAATACTTGCGCAAGAGGGCCAGTGTAAACAGGGAAGAACTGTTTTGCACAAAAAAGCCCGGATGGCTAAAATGGCAGTCGGGGCTTTCTTGTGCAAAATTGCGTCTAGACTGGCCAGAGATGATTTGTGCAAAAGTATCCGTGCCAATCTAGACGCGCTTTTGCGGAAATACTTTTAACAGAAAAACTTTTCCGTTGAAAGTATTTCCGCACTATCACGCCAGTCTAGACGCAGCCCAGCTGTTCTAGGGTAACTTTTCAAAGCGTTGGATGAAATTTTAGCAGCATGACTCTGATTTCAAGGGGAATCATGTGGTTAAAATCTACCTCTGGAAAATGTAGCTCTTCATGTTCAAATGTTGAGCACAAAACTAGCATTGTCTGTCTGCTTTATGACAGGGAAGGTTCAGGATGTGCAGCCGTACTCTTCATTTGGGCACAATTTACATGTCTGTTTGTGTGGAACAAAATGATAGATTGAAGCATTGCCAGAAGCACAAAGCTTCATTTTTCAGCTGTGGTATACACAATTAATTACAAGGACTTTGTCAGGATTATATATACACAGTGGTGGGGCAAATATAATTTCTGGGAGCTCAACTCTAATTTGCATATTTTAGAACAAAATTGAAGATATGAACAAGTCTTAAATGAGAAATGTATCAAAAGTTATGTATCAATTTGTAATTATAAGCTGTCTTATAATCAGCCCTCTTTGAATTATTCTGGAATAATTACACTAATCATATTGCATTTCCTATCAGGTATAAGATGGGTCATTTCATTCATCAGTTTTTAATATGTCAGTAAATAAAAGGCATTTCCTTAGAATGAATGTGTAAGCTTCTTCATTGAAGGACTGACCTGTTCTTGAAATAGATTTCAGAGAGGGAAACATTAATAGTGTGTTTTAAGTAAAAAGAAAAATAAATAGACTTCACAGTATCGATGCCTAAGAAATCATCCCTCAGTTCTTTGTCATAGCTACATGCAGAAATATTTTGTGCCTGGCATTTTGCTTTGGATAGATGGAAATGCAATCTTGTGTTTAGCCATGTTACATGATAGATTTCTGCCATAGAGTTGAGGGGTGTCTGCTAACTCCAACCAATTTTAAATGAGTCCGAGGAGAATGCTAGATTTATAGGCTAATGTGAATATCCTGACTAAGCAATTTGTAAAATGCTGGGTGCTTCCTGACTGAGGTTGAATGCCCACAGTTTCCATTCAGAGTGAAAAGAGGAACTCCACAGTTCACAGACCTGAACCTTCGCTTTCAGATCAGACAGACATTTTAAGAGGCAGGCACTGGGCTGGATTGTTTGCTATCATGCACCAGATTTACACTGCCACAATCCCACTGAAACTGTTAGGAGGAATTCTGTGTCTCCATGACCCAGCAGCCAAGCCATGTAGAAGGTAGTGCATGGCCATCTGTACAGTGCAGCCCAAATGACATAACATGTTGATCCAGCAAACTATTCTGAATCATTTTGGCTTTCCCTCAATCTTCTCCAGGAAGCGACTCACCTATTTTCAGTTTCTGTCAAGCAAAATTTAAAACACGCCCTGCAGTGTGGACAGAGCTCCTAACACTAATTAGACAACCACAGATTTGCACTTTGCCTCAGGCATCTTGAGAATCTCTTTCTGTTTGCGCCATGGCGAAGTAGAAAATAAGCTGTACTGGGATTCACTGATGTCTATGTTAAGTGCCTTCATAGTATCTTTAATGGGAGAATATAAAATTGCTCAAAGGAAATACATATCTGCAGTATCGCAATTTCTCAGGGGTGTATAAAACCTTCAACTAATGTCTGTTTTTCTAATATAAAGTTTTCATAGATCAGGTGGCAGGAAACTCATTTAGCTGGTATTCCCTTGTCAGGGTATTCATCTAGGCTGGCAGCTAGGCATTTTGTATTCATCTTCCAGCAAAAGTAATTTCAATATTAAACAAAAGTCCGGTCATCTGAAGAAGTGGGCCATGCCCACGAAAACTCATGATACTATCTATATGTTTTGTTAGTCTATAAAGTGCTACCAGACTATTTGTTATTTTTTCCTGTACAGACTAACTCGGCTACCCCCTGAAGCTTCAATATTAGTGATATTCAAGAAGGAAATTATTATAGTCTCTGCTGGAAAGAACAGTATCTGGAGTAGATAAATGCACTGGACTAGATAAGAGAGTAAAGCAAGTTCATTAACTGCCAAGATAGACTTTATGTGAGTACAAGGCACAAAAGTCAGACATGGCTACACAAAAAATAAAGATAAGATGTTTACTAAAAACTAACTCAGGGATCTCAAAGTTCATTGCACTGTGACCCCCTTCTAACAAGAATGACTACATTTCATGACTCCAGAGGAAACCAAAGCATGAGCTTGCCCAAGCTCTGCTACCCCAGGTAGGGGGACCAAAGCTGAAGCCCACAGATGTCAGCCCCAGGTACAAATGCCTGTAACCTGAGCCTTGCCATCCAGGGCTGAACCCCTTTGCGTTGCTTTCTCGGTAGGGCTCAGGCATTGGCCCCAGATTCCAGAAAGTGTAATGCTAGCACTGGAGACCCCATAAACTGGGATCAAGACCCACTTTGGAGTCCTGACACACAGTTTGAGTCTGATAAACTATATCAGACTCAAGCAAAGTTTCTCAC